CGTGAGGGTGGGTGTGAGTGGTGTGCCCACTCCCCCCTGCCTGCCCCAGGAGCACCCAAGGGTGCCAGCGCCCGGCTCACCTGTGGTGGTAAGGTGCCCCCCTGCTTCTCCCAGGTGATGGTGGCCGTGGGTGTCCCCGCAACCCGGCAGTACAGTCGCACTGTGGAGCCCTCCTGCACCTCCGTCCGCTCCGGGCTCACCTGCACCCGGGGCGTGTCGGCCGCTGAGGGAAGAGAGGGGGGTCAGGGTGGCACTGGGGGGTGAGGGCAATGGTCCCGATGGAAGAGATGGGGACGATGGAGAAGATGTGGATGATGGAGGAGATGGGGACAATGCGGGTGATGTGGATGATGGAGGCAATGGGGACGATGGAGTAGATGGGGACAATGAAGGTGATGGGGATGATGGGGATGATGGAGGTGATGGGGATGATGGAGGAGATGGGGACAATGGGAGTGATGTGGATGATGGAAGCGATGGGGACAATGGAGGTGACATGAGTGATGCAGGTGATGGGAATGATGGGGAAAATGGGCTGATGGAGATGACTGGGGTGACAGGGATGGTGTTGACAGTGAGGGTGATATGGATGACGGAAGGTGACAGAGACAACGGTGGTGACAAAGATGAGGGGGATGATGGGGACAATGGGGGCCAAGAGATGATGGCATGAGGAAGATGGATGATAAGAGATGACAAGGATGATGGGGACAGCGATGATGGGGCAAAAAAGATGATGAGAGTGATGGGGACGATGGGGACAACGGATGATGGAGAAGGATGATGGGGATGATGGAAACAATGGGAGGTCACGAGGGTGATGGGGACAAGAAGGGTGATGGGGATGATAGGGGTAATAGGGGTGACACAGATGACAATGGTGATGGGAATGACAAGAATGACGAGGATGACGAGGACAATAGCGATGGGGACAAAAGGATGACAGGGACAATGGGAGATGATGGACACGATGGGGACAACAGGGATGACCGGGATGAGGGAGACGCGGCCCACCTTGCACGTGGAGGAAGGCCCGTGCCATGTGCTGCCCAGCGCTGCTGCGTGCCCGGCACGCGTAGTGCCCCTCGTCGGCGGGCTCCACGGCGTTGAAACGCAGCGTCCCCCCCTGGACCACCGCCCGTGGTGGCACCCCTGTGGGGACACATCCCGGTGTCACCCCTGCTCACCGCAGCCCCATGTCCCCGAGCCC